TTTTTTTTTTTTTTTTTTTTTTTTTTGTGGAACCGGGGATTGAACTCAGGCCCTTGCGCTTGCCAGGGAAGCGCTTATTCCACTGAGCCATGCCCCGGGCCCCTTCAATTCAGCTTTGACAAAAGAAGAGTTCAAGTTCCCAGGGTACTAATGTTGACCTTTTAATCAGGGATTGAACTCAGGCACTTGTGCTTGCCAGGCAAGCGCTTACTCTACTGAGCTATCTCCCCGGCCCCAATGTTGACCCTCTATCAAAACATATGTCTGTGATTATTTAGGAGGCAGTGACCATGGAGGATGTAGCTGTGAACTTCACCAGGGAGGAGTGGACTCTGCTGAATTCAGCCCAAAAGAAGCTCTACAGAGATGTGATGTGGGAAACATTTAGGAATATAAAGGCTATAGGTAAGGATGACATTCTTTTCTCATGTGTGCAATGAGAGAGCATCGGTCCTTGTTCATGGGCACAGATTCATTAAGTAGATTGTGAAAACATTGTGGACAGTGTCACAACCCCATTTACCTTATACCATGAATGTAATTTCTAACTGCTAATTTTTGCATAATGATATGGTGACTTTTTGTATTTCTGTGGCTATCATTCAGGAAAGACTTGGGACAACCAACAAATGGAAGAAAAATACAAAAATTGCCCTACAAATCTAAGGTAAGTTGCATTCATTAAAAAAAGCAATATTTCTCAAGAAGCTATGTGTGAACAGAAATATTACACTTATTGTTGGTGTTCTTACAGGTTGCTTTTGTATAATCTAAACTGTGAATAGAGAAGTGTTACAATATAGGAAACTAAATTAGTAGTTTAATTGTGCAAGAGGCACTTTCTCCTATATTAGCAGAACAAAATCATGATCAACATCATGAAAGTGTATGAAGTTGCACTTAGGAATTCTGTATAGGCGTATATAAAAATAATCATATTTTAGCAGGAACTCATCTTCATCCTATATATGTATATTTGAATATATGTACATTATCTAAAAATTATTAACTTGGAAGCAACATTGAAAATGTACAGGAATCCTAGAGTGTTAATAAAATGTTTGAAAACATTCTTGAGAGAATTGTGTGTATTCATGTTTTAAATTCCCCAGTATGCACGCTTATGTTATTGGTGGGAATATAAAATAAAACTATTTGAATCATTGCTGCCTAAAAAAAATACAAATAAATCTTTGACTTTGATCCAGGCAAAATTACATATGCATATACTGAAAGATTTAAAAATATATCTTAGTGATATATATGTACTTATACTCAAAGTAGGGGGGGCCAGGGAGATGGTTTGGTAGAATAAGTGCTTCCTTGGCAAGCGCAAGGGTCTGAGTTCCATACCCAGTTCTGCCAAAAAGAAAAGAACAAAACAAAACAAAAAACCAAAACAAAGTAGGGTATGCATGGTTTCTCATAGTAATTCAGTTATGGAAATAATTCATAGTACCTAAGCACCAATCAGTGTATGCATGGAAGCAGAGAATGTGGGATAGGTATAGCATGGTGGTGCTTTTGTATAATCTCAGCACTCTGGTTAACGGAATCTGCACGGTGACTTGAAATTCATTCTGCCCCAATAAATGATTAATATTTCTCTCAAAATAAGAATTTTTTTAAAAACCTAGAAACATATTTAATTGCTCATACATTTGTTTCATTGTCAGCACTAAAAAAATATGGTACATGTGTTCTGATAAGCAGAAAGAAGTATCTCATCTTCTGACTACAAAAAAGAAGGTACTCCACCTCAAAATGTTAAATGCAGTAACTTAGACACTGAAAGTGAATTATCAAGTGTTATATTATGTGAGATACTAAAGTATAAGTTTGGGATTATAAATTAAGAAATGAAGGGGCTGGGGAGATAGCTCAGTAGAATAAATGCTTGCCTGGCCAGTGCAGAGTCCTGAGTTCAATCCCTTGTACCGAAAAAAGAAAGAAAAAAGAAATGATAAAAGACAAGAGTCTTGGGGGAAGGATGGCAAAGTCATAAATATGTAGTATACACATGAATTAATCACTTAAATTCAACTTGATTTTAGCTACTGCAAATGCATGAGAATTCAAAATCCAGAAATGATTGTATTTCTTTGATAAATGGTCATCTTGGAGGCATGCTTCAGGGCTTTCAACCTATTCATTCTGAAAATGTCATAGCAGGCACTAGCCAGAACTTGTTGATACGGAGGCCATTTTATTGAGATTGATATTTTGTCTTTGCAGAAATGAGGAGGGAGCAAAATGTTATCAATATAAGTCTTGCAATCAGCATGAAAACAGATTGAATCATAGTTCAGATGTGAACGTGGATATGCAACAAGCTGTTTTAAAGCCAGCCAGAAGTCCTATTTGTAGAGTACCCCTGATTGGGCACTCAGCATTAAATGTGCCTATTTTACTTCACAGTGGAGAGAAGCCACATGATTATTTGGGATTTGGTGACAAGCTGAGCAAGTATAATGAACATGGAAAAACCAGCAATGATAACCAATCCTTTCAGAAGAATGTAAGAACAAAATATGGAAAGAAACCCAATCAATATGAGCAGTATGGGACACCGTACTCTGAACTTAGTGAAAGAACTAACCCTGGAGGGGAAACCACTGTTGGTCAGGAAAGTGTGAAGGCTTCCACCACCCACAGTGGTTTTCAGATCCATAAAAGAATTCACACTGGAAACAATAAATATGTTTGCAAGCAATATGGAAAAAGTGTCAATACTGAAACTGGTAAAATTCAGGAAACCATACCCATGGATGAAAAAACTAATGTATGTGGAGAAGCATTCAAGAGAAGCACTCAATGTCAAAGTCATGAAAATGTTCACAAAGGGCAGAAACCTCATATATGTAAACACTGTGGGAAAGCTTTCACCAGACGCAGTTACTGTAAAATACATGAAAGAAATCACACTCTGGAGAAACCTTATGTGTGCAAGCAGTGTGGGAAGGCATTCACTATGGAACAATCTTGTCAAATACACGAAAGAATTCACTCTGGGGAGAAGCCTTATGTGTGTAAGCAATGTGGAAAAGCATTCACTACAAAGCAGTATTATAATCTACATGAAAACTTTCATGCAGGAGAGAAACTTCATGTGTGCAAGCACTGTGGGAAGGCATTCACTACCCGTAAATCTTGTCAAATACATGAAAGAATTCACACTGGGGAGAAACCTTATGTGTGCAAGCAGTGTGGAAAAGCATTCCCTATATGGGGTAATTTTAAAAGACATGAAAGTACTCACAAAGGGGAGAAACCTTATGTATGTAAACAGTGTGGGAAAGCATTCACACTGAGCAGTAATTGTAAAAGACATGAAAAAGCTCACACTGGGGAAAAACCTTATATGTGCAAGCAGTGTGGGAATGCGTTCACAACGCAAGGTTCTCGTCAAAGACATGAAAGAATTCATACTGGGGAGAAACCTTATGTGTGCAAGTATTGTGGCAGGGCATTTAGTACACACCAATTTTGTCAAATACATGAAAGAACTCACACTGGGGAGAAACCATATGTGTGTCAGCAATGTGGAAAGGCATTCAGTAGAAGTACTAATTATAGAATTCATGAAAGGACTCACACAGGGGAGAAACCTTATGTGTGCAAGCACTGTGGAAAGGCATTCACAACACACCGATCTTGTCAAGTACACGAAAGAACACACACTGGGGAGAAACCTTATGTGTGTAAGCACTGTGGGAAAGCATTTGCTGCATACCCATATTGTCAAATACATGAAAAAACTCACAGTGGTGAGAAACCTTATTTGTGCAAGCTGTGTGGCAAGGCATTCACTAGACACCGATCTTGTCAAATACATGAAAAAACTCACACTCTGGAGAAACTTTATGTGTGTAAGCAATGTGGGAAGGCATTCACTACAAAAAGATCCTGTTTAAGACATGAAAAACTACATACTAGGTAGAAACCATGTGGAAGCAAGCAGTATGGAAAAGAATTCAGTGTAAATTCAAGCTATATATGTTAAGAAAGCAGTTACACTGGGGAGAATCATTAAATATGCAGTCAATGGGAGAGGGCATTTACTACACACCAGTCTTGTTACGCATGTGAAATTAAACTTAGACAAATTTAAGTGGGCTACTTGGAAAAAGGTTTGGTAGTGTGTGCTCAGTTTATATACGTAGATTGCACGTTGGGGAAGATCTGTGTGTATATAAACAAGCATTTAATGGACTTTTTTGTTTTGTTTTAATCAACCACAAGAAAGAAGTCATTGGAGAATAGCCCTGTATGTGTAAGCCTATTTGGAAAAGCTTGTGAAAATTTCACATCTTTTATCACCTGTAAGCATATATGAAAAATTTGATGTCAATACTTGTTCATGTACTTTCAACAAAATACATACCCAAATGGAGATAACCTTGAATATATTTTTTTCTGCTTTTCAGTAAATCGTTTGTAAATAACTGAACTGAGTATATGTTGTGTTTATTAGAAACAATATTGACATAATACATTTTTATGTAAACCATCATTTCTAACTTCCAAGTAGCAATAATGTTCATGTTTTTTGATTTTTCCCACCCAGTGGAAAGGTGTAGATCACTAAGGGAATAAATATTATTAGTAATTTAAAATTCAGATTTCTTACTAGCTTTGAAATTTCTTTTCTTTCTTTTTTTTTTTTTTTTTGCAGAACGGGACCATTGCCTTGCTCATCTTTTACATATAACTGTATGGCTTGACATTGTCAAATTCAATTTTTTTTTTGCAGAACTGGGGATTAAACTCAGTCCTTTGTGCTTGCCAGGCAAGAACTTATTCTACTGAGCTATCTCCTTGGCCCTGATATTTTCCTCATGTATCCACCTCATAGTCTATATATAAATTTATGTGTGTAAGCAATGTGGGAAGGCATTCACTACAAAAAGATCCTGTTTAAGACATAACTTTGAATTTGATATTGTATATGTAAACACAGACATATTTAGAGCAGTGGAATCCTGTAGTTTTTAAAAGTTTGTTTCTTTACACAAAACTTTTTTTTCTTTACACAAAACTTGAAGATTAACAAATGATTTATTTTTCCCATCCTAATGAAAATATTAGCCTGTATCCAACCATTAGATAAAGTGCATAATTTCGCTTTACTTTCATGTTGAAGCCAGTAAATTGATTCACATAAAATTTTGTTCACATCAACATTTTACTTTTCATGCTTATATTATTATGACTTTCAGTTCGGTAGTTTTTTTTTTTTTTTTTTTTTTTTTTTTTTGCGGAACTGGGGATTGAACTCAGGCCCTTGCGCTTGCCAGGGAAGTGCTTATTCCATTGAGCCATCTCCCTGGCCCCCCTTTTTTTTATGTATTTAATCACTATGCAGCTTGGACTTATAGTTATTCTCCTGTTTTCAGCCTCTCCAGCACTGCAGTTACAAGCACAAGCCACCATACCTGCACTCAGTGTCCAGCTCAGCATGCTGAAGTACAGAGCCAGTGCTGTATTTCCTTGGATTGGACCCCAGTCCCTGTGCTTGCCTAATAAGGCACTTACTCTGCTGAGCTATCTCGCCAATTTTACTAAATTGATAATAATAAACCACTTTGCCCTGAGTTTTGGATTGTGACACATCAGAAATAAAGGATACCATGAATTTTAATGGATCAGTCAGTGCTTACTACAGAAACAGTCATAATGTATTACACACAAATATATAAGAATTTACATGATTGGCTTATGAAGACTGCCCATACACACAAGATGCAGAAGAGAGAACAAGGTCTTGTGTGACATACAAAAAATCCAGTGAAGGCCTGAGCTAGAAGCTGAAGAGTCTGCTGGAAGCCAGACAGTGACTTTCAGTGTGACAGTGAATAGTGGAACTCCTCTGCTGAAACACATGTAAGCCTTCAGAAACAGAGTGAGCTGCATAGTGAGACTCTGTGCCAAATACATAATAAAAGAATAAATAATAATAGAAGTAACACTGGACCAGGGAGATAGCTCAGTGGCATAAGTGCAGCAGTGGGTGTAGTCAAAATAGCCTCTGAGTGAGAGTCCATGTGACTGAGCATGCATAACCATCATTCCTGCCAATAAGCCCACTCTATTCATGAGCCCATTGAGCAATGGAAGGGGTGACTGGAGAGCGCTGACTGCTCTCCAGGAAATGAATCACTTTATCCCCTTTCTTGTTAAAATCCTGTTCTGCTGAGGTCACATTTTGTTGAGCATTTATAATGCAAATGTATTTACGTTCCTTCCCTATACAGATAGTTCTATCCAAATCCTTCATCCCCAAATAGTTTTGTGACCAATTTCCTATTTATGTTTCTTCGTGTTTCTGAACAGTTGCATTGTTGGCCATCTTTCCTCCCAGGAAAATCATACTGTCACTTACTCCGGCCAAAGTGCAGTCCATTGTGAAGATTTTCCTCCACCAGTGTCAAGAGAAGATGTCTTCAAAAGTGGCTATAAGGCTGCAGCTATCCACTTACGGTGACGCTTGTATAACATGATGAAGCAGCAGTAAACAAGAGGCTTTTTCTCACACTAGGAGCTGATGGTCCAATGGTCCAATTCATGAGGCCATACTTACATGTGGAGGAAAGGAAGTGATCAGGAAAGTGTAGGAGCCATGGACATCTGAGGATATTCTTCACGTAATGTACTCTTTTGACTTGCCCTGTCTTACGTGTGTACAGTTTCAGTCTAGGGCTGGAAAGTTTATATTGCATTGAAGTAGGACAGTGAAGGTGTATTGCTGGTCTTCCCCTCTGAAGGCAAATTATTGGGGCTGGGGAGATGGCTCAGTAGAATAAGCGCTTCCCAGGCAAGTGCAAGGGCCTGAGTTCAATTCCCAGTTCCACCAAAAAAAAAAAAAAAAAAAAAAAAGAAAGCAATTTATTTCATGTGAATTACATGGGTGGGTAACTAAAAGGCTGGCATTTGCCAAATCAATAGTTGTATACCAAGATCAAGAGATGGATTAATTTCAGCAAAAGACACCACATCTGTAAAGATGCTGCAACTGGAGTCTTTACTTGATTCAGTTTGTGCTCATGTACCATCATTCTTGAGATCCATCTGTGTGCATAGGCCAAATTGAAGAATTAAATGGAAGTATACTGGAAATGTACTGCTTCATTCTTCAGGGCCTTGAGAATGGCAATAATCACTGCAATCCCTCCAGGAAAGCACTATTGTTACTTATTTTATAATTTTCCCAGGAAGGAAAATTGTAATGGCTTCTTTTTGGCATTCCCTTTGTCCTAGCCCTTACATTTTGAGGCACCAGTATGAGGATGCTGCCAAGTACTAATTATATCTACCCCAACTGTGCATTCAGAAAAGGAGAAGTAATTACAGGATAAATTTGAGGACATAACAAGATCAATAGTGAGTTGCATTTTTGCTAGAATTCCATTGAATTTTAGCAGTTAGGTAAAACTCCATAGGCCCCTATTGTTACTGGAGGGCTATAATATTTGGAATCATTGGTATCAGCAGTGGTTTAGAACCAGTGGCCCCTCGTCCCCAAATGTCCACATTCTTCAATTTATAGTTTTTCAGGTAAAAGTTTTTAAGTCCTTTTTGGGAATGATGGGAGAAAGAATGAGCATATGGTGTACCAGTGTCCTGTCTCAAGGTGACTTACTTATGACATGGTGCATTTCACAACTTGCTACCTGGTTTAGGAGCCATGATTCTCACTTACTTTGACCTGAAGTAAGTCTCTTCATTTTCCCTTACTTGTTTGTTTTTTCTTTTTCTTTCTTTCTTTCTTTCTTTCTTTTCTTTCTTTCTTTCTTTCTTTCTTTCTTTCTTTCTTTCTTTCTTTCTTTCTTTTT